AGAGAAACATCAAGGAGAGAGAATCATTGATCAGCTGCCTCCTGCATATCCCACATTGGGGATCGAACCCACAACTCGGGCATGTGTCCTGACCGGGAATCAAACCTTGACCTCCTTGTTCATAGGACTATGCTCAACCACTGACTGGGCTAAAATTGTATTTTTAAATAAAATATTTAAGGTGTATGACAGGATTTGATATACATACACATAGTGAAGTGATACCACAGTCAAACCCATTAACGTATCATCTCCTCCTGTGGTTACCTTTCCTTTGCGATGAGAGCACCTGAAGTCTATTCTTAGCAAATTTCCAGTCTTCAGTGCAGCGTGATTAACTACAGTCACCTGCTGTGCACTAGCGCTGTAGAACGTACTCATCCTACATGACTGTAACTAAACTTCTGTAAAAAGCCAGATAGTAAATATTTTAGGCTTTGTGGGGCAGACGGTCTCAGTCACAACTATTCAACATGGCCAGAGATTATAGGAATGGGCCTGGTTGGGGTCCAATAAAACTTTATTTACAAAAACAAGCAGTGGGCAGGATTTGGCCCATGGGCCATAGTTTGCCAACCCCTGCTTTAGGCCTCAAATTTACTGGCCATAAAGTAGGCAACTCCTTCAGTATATATTTTCTGGCTTCCTGAAGTTGTCTTTATCATGTGATGGCATTACCTGTCCTCCCCCCTCTACACACACACACACTCATACATGTACTGTGCTCATGGTAGCCTGGGGGTTCAGTGAAGATCTATCACCTATCTATCCATCATCTATCTATCTATCTATCTATCTATCTATCTATCATCTATCATCTCCTTAATGTGCTAGTTTTTTTTAAATGTTGTTTTTTTACCAATAAAAAAAGTCTCCTGGCCTCTCACCACCATTAGAAAAGGGACAACAGAGACTAGTTCATTCATGGCTTTTAATTCCGGCAGATCCGTGTTCAAATTCCAGACCTGTTCCTGTGTGACCTTATGTGGGGCGCGGTTACGGTGTTTTGGCCAGGTTTAAGCCTCGGACTAATGAAAGGACAGGGTCCTCTCATTACCACGTGCAAGTCCCAGCTGGAGGGCAGGGCCCTCCCAGCACAATTACAGCCAACGGCTGTGGTTGTAAGCTTGAACCTATGGTCCAAACACGTAGCCCCATGTGCCTGGTGATAGAGTTCGGGTGCATGTAGTTAAGTGAGGTTGAAACTCACGAGAATGCTGTAAACAACGTGATCACGCCCCTACTTTGTCTTGTGGCATCTGCTATAAAATAAAGACACCGCTTGTGGGCGCTGACGCTGTCTCTCTCCACCCGAGAGGGCAGCGACCCACCGAGACCCAGCTTTCATTCTCTTGTCTGTCTTTTCCAAGCCTTTCACCGCCCTCACTCAGGGTCACTGACCCAGGCTGAGCTGGCGTGGCACAAAAGGTGCCCTGGGGCTGAGTATGCCATGGCCGTGCTGGCTCCCCACAATGTTGTGATGAATTCAAACCTTGCCCATGTTTCAGATTGACCAGAATTTCTAGGTCAAAAGCAATGAATGAGATTCCCCTTGGTCGTGCTGGCGTGGCACAACCATACGCTGATTATTTAATCCCATTAACCCTCAGTTCCCTCATCTGCAAAATGGGAACAAATCAATACTTCCCTCACACAAGTGCTCAGAACAATGCCTGGTACACGATAAGCACTCAGTGTACGTTAGCTACTATTAGGTCACTCTGAGCCCCGGGAAAACACCGCACAGGAAGGTAGAGAATAGAGTAGCAAAACAACTTCCTGAAGGATAGCCCTGCCGACCTGCAGGACAATGCCTTCCAGACTTTTTCTAGGCAGACGTTTTTCGTTTTTACACAGCAGCGATCATTCCTGAGTTACTTTAAACGGCCCTGGGGAAATAGACAAGGCTTTCAGACTCCTACCCCACCTCCTCCTTTGAACTGGGGTCCTGCACCCCAAAGATGGTGCGCAGGTGGCGTGTGCATCTCCTTTCCCGTCTCCTGCTGAGGAGAAGGATGCTAATTAAAATGAGTGGGTGGCCCACAACAGGGCACCTTGGGCCCCGGTTTCTATAGAAACCAAGTCACTCCTTCACCTTTCAACACATTTCCCCGTCTCCTGACAAACTCTATCCTCGGAGACGTGGATGGCTCTGACATCTATTCCCCTCTCCCCATTAGTCCACAGCAAGCATTGCCTGATGCGTGCTGGCAGGGGCAGCCATGGAGGACGGTGTGTTAGGCTTTGCAGGCACTGTCCCAGCTAATCCTCACGCCAAGCGTATGGGGTAAGAACTGTCACCCTATTTTCAGCTGAGATGGCCCAGCCGCACAGGTAGCCACACCAGCTCTGGATTAGTGACGGAGGGCTCCCATAACCAAGTGCCGCAGGCTAGGCGGCTTAAACAGCAGAAATTCATGCTCACAGTTCTGGGGGTCAGAAGTCTGAAATCAAGATGTTGGCGGAGGGCCGTGGGGAAGGAGCTGTTGCAGGCCTCTCTGCTGGGCTTGTAGATGGCCGCCTTCTCCCGTGCCTCTTCACATCCTCTTTCTGTGCGTCTGTCAGTCTCTGTGTCCTAACTTTCCCCTTTTATAAGGACGCCAGTCATATTGGATTAGGGCCCACCCTAATGACCTCACTTTAACTTGATTGCCTCGGTATAGAGACCCTGTCTCCAGCCCTGGCCTGTGCTGCTCAGTGGTTAAAGCCTCGGCCCGTGCACTGAAGGATCACGGGTTTGATTCCCAGTCCAGGGCACATACCTGGATTGCAGGTTCGACCCCTGCAATTGATGTGTCTCTCTCACGTAGATGTTCCTCTCTCTCTTCCCCCTCCCTTTTCCGTTCTCTCTGAAAACAATGGAAAAAATATTCTCGTTTGAGGATTAATAAAACAAAACAAAAAGATCCTGTCTTCAAAGAAGGTCACAGATTTAAGATCTGGGGGTGAGGACACCTACATATCTTTTGTGAGGGGGGCACGATGCAGCCTGTAACAGGCAGACTGGCTCTATCACTGGCCAGCCACTCTATCTCATTAAACCCTGGTTTCCTCCTTTGTTAAAGGGGAATACTATCTCCCATGTGGATTGCTGCATTAGACTAAATGAGATATCTGGCACTTCACCTGGTGCTAGCCAGCCCTCTTTTTATCGTAGGTGTTGGGCATGCCCACCGCAGAGCCCCCAGACCACCTGAGCTCCCCTGTGGCTGCAGGGACCCGACCGTGCACAGAGATGCTTACCTGACTCAGCACATGCACCTGGTTCTCAGCCGGGGATTTCTAGGTGCTGCGAGAACTTGCTGTGCCCGCACGGGACAGTCGTAAAGTACCAAACATTTAAAGCCCCCCAGTGGCAACCCCAAGCCCTGAGGGATAGGGTCAGCAGTTAAACACTCCAGCAGTTAAACACTCCAGAAGTTGCCTGACAGTTCTTACCCCATATGCTTCCCACAATGATCATTCCCTAGTGTGTCCTACATGGATCCCAGCATGATTGAGCCCAGCTGCCCGCACTGGTGGTTGATACAGCCCTCACCTGCTGCCCAGGAGACAGAGTGATAAACAAAGCCTGATGACTTCGTTTGAGCACCTGGATCCAGCTATGCCTGAAGGCAGGACTTCTTTTGTAACAAAGGAGTTTGTGTTAAATCCTTCTCTTCTCTGTGTAAGGTTTCTCTTATCAGTCATCAGATTAATATACTTCAGTGTTTCAACTGTTCTTCCTTCTAAGACCACACCAATATTACCAACAATGTCTAGCAGGGCTGGCTGTCTATTTCTACCCCTTGAGCCTCCCAGCTGAGGGCTTAGGTACGATGGAGCGGAGATGAGCCAACTCTGATGTGTCTGGTCTCAACTCTTGACCCACAAAATCCATGAATATAATAAATATAGGTGCTTTGAGTCATCAGGATGGTAACCAAACCAACCTCCCACCCTCTATGCGCCGTATCCCTGAAGAAAAAGATAACTCGAATGCATGGCACAAATAAATAATCTTTAATTTCAACAAACAGCTCCCCAGCATACCAGACGATATGCGGTGGGAAAAGCTACAGAAGCATCCAACAGAGATACCTATTCTAACTATGCTAACTCCTTGGCACAAGAGAAAGCACTTTGGTTCACACAAATACGGGAAGATCCTCAGATATGACAGGAAGGAGCGCGTCCTGGGTGAGGGTGCGGTGGCCGTTCTAACCCACGTCACTGTCCTCAGCAGGTCAAAGCCACCAGGATTTGGTTGAAAAAATGCTGCTTTTGCTCTACCATGTTCTATTTTCTTGACATACATACACGCTACTATTACTGAAGGCGGGGTCTTGGCGACAGGACACGGGGTGAAATTTCACTGATGGGAGAGGCAGAGAGAGGGAGGCTCAGGACGGAGTCCTGGCCACTGCCTTGCTCACCAAGAGGACACACGGGCACACACGTTCACCGGTGAGGGCACACGCACAGAACATCCACGCACACCCACAGGGAGTGCCCGGGAATCGGCTGGCACAGGGAGACATTCAGTTAAGCCAGGAGAGGCTCCTTACGCTGCCAGCTGTTGGTTGCCCACTGGTTTTCCAAATGGTCTAATCTAGCTATCACGCCCCCGAAATAGAAGACAAGGGGCTTACGCTCTGGGGAAAAGATCCCAGGTTCGAAGCACCCCAGGGCACAGCAGCCTGCTCCAGTCACCCGGTGGGTGTGCATTTTGGCGTGGGGGTCGGGCCTCGCCCACACTGGCCAGCTCTTGGAAGAGGTCCCCTTGGTGGAGCCGGCCCCCTTTGGGACACCCTTGCTCTGGCTTGAAGACTGAAAGTGCATTTTTCGAGGGAGAGGGATGTCAACAAGAGCAAGCACTGCCAGTACATCTCAGCAGCGTGCACTCACTCACGGCACACGGATGGGGCTTCCGGAAAGTTCTCAGGCCTCGCTCATCGAGGATGGCCATTTCGTGATCAACAGTCAGCTTCCTCTCAGGTCTGGGAGGATTTGGGGTGAGTGTGTGTGTGTGTGTGTGTGTGTGTGTGTGTGTGTGGATGTAATAGGTAGATGACACGATGACACATTTTTTTGTCTTAAATTTTCTTTCTTTTTCTTATTTTTTTTTCTTTTTACAACTGACTGGTGCCTTCCCTGCAGCCTCAGGTCACCTCCAGCGACGCAGGAGACACGCGGTCGCACTCGGCCCGGGACCGCAGGCTGTGCCACTGCTCCACGGCCGTGCGGTGGGTGTTGAGCATCCGCCGCCAGTGGTTGGATTCCGAGGGGCCCGAAGAGTACTGGCCGATGACAATCCTCCCGATGAAGTCGTTGCTGCTCTTCATGTTGTGCCCGAACACTAGAGAACCACAGGGACGAGGGTGGGGGTGGGGGTGGGGGCGAGGCAGGAGGAGGAGGGGGACAGAGCAGGAGGCAGGAACAAGACAGGCCATTAGGCTACACATTCCTCAACAGCAGACATGGGTCCTGGCCTTCAGGACACTGTCTGTCTTTGAATGGTGAGCACTCCCGATTCCCTCACCTCTTCTCCCACAGGCTCTGCTCCAGGGGCACTGGGCTTGGCACAGGCTTCCTGCTTCTCCCCAGGCCAAGCACATCCTACCTGCCCCTCCTCGCCCCCCGCCTCGCACTGGATGCTGGACAGCTGCCCCTGCGATACGCAGCTTGGAACTCTGTCCCGTTGCCATGCTGCCTGCAGAGCTCGAGTACCGGACAGTCCTGGTGGAACGGTCACTGTCACCGAGTCCTGACACGGTGACACCAGGGTTTCTCAGCCTCACACTGATGGCACTTGGGGCTGGGTAATTCTTGGCTGTGGGGGCCTGACCTGTACACAGAGAGGTTTAGCAGCACCTCAGGCCTCTACCTGCTAGATGCCAAGTAGCACCCCTCCCCCCGCTTGTCACAACCCAGAATGACTCCAGACAAGGCCAATAGCCCCTGGGGTGGGGTGGGGGTGGTCAGGACATTCCAGATGAAAACCACTAGGCTTAGCTGTGGGTCAAGGGGCCAGACATCCCTCAGGAATCCCGGCCATCATTTGACCAGCTCTGGGGCCCCGAGGCAAGTGAGGGGACTGCTCTGAAACTCAGTCTCCTGTTGGTTCAATCGCAATCTTAACGGCACCTTACCTTTAAGGTTTCGATGAGATAATGCATGTAAAGCTCCTAGCATGCAGTGCTTACTTCGCACACAGTAAGCGCTCCTTTAATGCACTGCTATTTCACATATTCTGTTGACCCTTTTTAATGTTTATTATCTATTTATTTTCCCTTTTTATTAAATGTATAGGGGTGACACCGGCTAACAGAAATGACACAGGTTTCAGGCGCACAATTCTACAACACATCGTCTGCATCCGTCTCCGTCTCTGGGCCTTTGTGAAAAGAGACTTCGTGTTCGCTCTGTTCCAGGCAACAGAAGCAAGTTTCCTGAGAAAAACAGCTGTGGCAGTTCCTTCCATCCCTGGCTGTACTGCATGTCTCTTTGGAAAGCTTTTCTGTTCATTCCAATGCAAGATTAATTTGTGTCTTTCAAGCCTAATGAGATAGTTAGCTTGATTTATCTTCCCAGCCAAGTTCCGCCTAATTCTTTATCTGCATGTGGGTAGCCCAGGCATGCCATCTCGCTCTTGGGAAAGCAGGCCGCGTCTGTTAAAAATGAAGGACTCCAGAATGGGAAATATCACAGATTCACCCAGTGTGAGCCCAGCAAAGGCAGGCTGCATCCCAGGAGGGAAGCCATTATCAAATAAGCCAGCTAAAATACGCAGCCCCAAACAGAGCTTGAATGCTAACGAGCCTCTGTTCTCCCCTGTGGGGTGCACATCAGAAATTCCAAATGATAAAAATGGGGTGTGTGTGTGTGCGCGCGTGTGTACGCATGTGGAAAAACAAGAACAAAAACCTCATCCATTGTCTAAAAACCAAAGACCTGGAGTGAACGAAGCTGAGTGAATGAGGCTCAGGGAAACGCGGAGGGACCCGTATCTATCGGCTCCATGGACAAAAATTGGACCATGTATATTTTTTGTACATTTGGTAAAGTGCTCAGTATGCATAGGTGGACTTCATTTTCATGAAAGTTGGGAATGGAATCTTTTGCTAAGGAGCTTTCTGATGCATTTGAAAAAAATTGTTTTCGAATAGGTAACACTCAGGACTGTTTTGAACCACACCTGGTGGGCAGTGCAAGGTTTGATTTCACCAAATAGAGTCCCCTTCTCTGTGGACCTCAAATCTAAAGCAAGATATTATTATTATTTTAGCAAGATATATGAGACCATTTCAGGCTCCATTTGGTTTTCTTCCCTTGGGGCAAAATATTCTCTCTTCCTCTGCCTCCCCAGCATTCAAATGAAAGTGCAGAAGCATCTTAGTAAATAAGTACAGGTTTTGCTCCCCCGGGGTAAGGATTTTAAGAAAGGAAATCTCTAGCACTAATCATGCATTGTTGGTGAAAGAGGAAGTTGGTTCAACTTTGGAGGGGAGTTCACAGTATCTACGCAAAATAAAAATATCATAACTCGTGATCCAGCAATTCTACGTCTAGGGATTTACCCCACAGAATTATCTGCTCCATTGGATGAAGATATACAACCGAGGGCAGTTTCTGCACATCTGGCTGCCACCTGATTGTTGTGAGTTTTATTGGGACCCCGTCAAACCGGCTTGTTCACATCTGTCCACCAGCTGCCTTCGCACAGCAGCCCCACAGCTGAGAAGTTTCAACACAGACCATGTGGCCGAAAATTGAAAATAGTTACTGCCTGGCCTTTTACAAAACCTTTGCTGATCCCTGTTCCAGAATATTGTTTATAAGAATGAAAAACGGAAATAACAAAAATGTCCATGAGGAAGTGTGGCCCAGGCTGTTGATGTCTTAACCCACCCCCCTCAGCCCCACTACCTGCAGCTTCTGTGGATGGTGCCCCACCACAAGCCCCCATGGCTCTCTGCCTGGGCCCTCAGTCTATGCTAACAGGTGATTTATGCGGGGGGGGGGGGGGGGCTTGGGCCACTCGATATCAACTTGACCTTGGAAGGGTAGGGAGACTAGATGAAGCCACTTGGACGGGCAGCCATACCTATGTGGACACCAGGGTCTGAGTGAGCTTCCCCGGTGGGCAGGACTCTGAGTGTGTTGCCAACACAGTTACAGGGGGAATGGACGGCTGTCCACAGGACTCCCCTGGAGAGGACGCCTGGAAGCTCCTGCCTGGGCCCTCCTGGACTCTGCCCTCATGTCCTTCCCTTCGCTGGTATTAGTCTGGATCCTTTTGCTGTAATAAATGGTAACCATGAGTATAACAAGTCTTCTGAGTTTCCTGAGTCCTCCTGGCTTCTATGACAGCACTGAACCCGAGGGTGGTCTTGGGGCCCCCTGAGCTGCAGTTACACATTCAAAATAACTGCCTCCGTTTCCTGCCTCCCTTCCCCACCCGCTTGCCAGTGCTTCCTGGGATCCCCTTCCTAGTGGCTTGCCTGCACCCAAGTCATTGTTTTAGGATTAGATTTGGGAGGCACCCAGACTAGGACTGGCGGGGGACTAATTAGATAATTTCTGATGTAACAATACCATGGAAACCAATGTCACAGTTAAAAATGACACAGACCTACATATACAAATGGAAAAATCTTCCAAGACCGATTGCTAGGAGACAAAAGCAAGTTGCAAAGCAATATATGTCAACACAATCTCGTTTTGCTAAAAACACATTAATATACCGAATCGAAAACAGTATCTGAGGGAATGTTCACCAAACTCTTAAGAGTGACTCTCTCTAGGGAGGAAAAACAGAGGGAACTTTCGCTTTTCTCTTAGGTCAGTGTGTACAGTTTACACTTCTCACAAGTGCATATTGTGATGGAAAGGAAACAGGAAGAAATTAAGTGGCTGTCAGAGAATCCACATTTAAGTCACCAGAAGGGAAGAAGACTAAAAGGAAGTCATATCCTACGCTCCCTCCGTATCCCCATTTGCAAAGTGTGTGGGGAGTCACTTGGCTGGGAAAGGTGGGAAGCAGCTGTGGCCGTCCAGGTCTGAGTTAACTGGCAGGCTCCACACTTGAGAGTCACTTGGTCAGGTTACTCAGACAAATCAGTTGGCAACTTTGCAAGTCTTTGAGGAAGCAAACACTCAAAATGCAAATTACAGTAAGCTGAAGCTGAATAAAACCAATGCCTTCTAGTATAGAAGCTAACTGGGAGAATGTCAAGGTTTGCATCACTGAACATTCTAGGGACTGGCTACTTGCAGAAGACAGACAGGGGCTCAGCAACAGTGGGCCAGACACCTGCCACTTTATACGTCAGGAGACCAAGTCACTGAGCCGACTGGTACTAAAACTCGCAGTATTTGCAGCAAATAACCTGTAAAGGAAGCACATTCCTCATAACCAGGTCCCTGCAATCCTCCTCTTCAGAAACAATCACACCTAGACATTTTGTTGTAAGGCACCCCAAATGTCCCCACCAGCTGCGACAGGGGACTCCCTTTTACTGTAGTCACTATATATATGACAATGTATATGCTCCCATGTACCTTAGTCATCTGGAAGCATCTTCCCAACAGTGTGTACAATTAGAGAGTGGCAACAGGCGTCTGAACAGTCAGAAGAGATGTCACAAAGTCATGCACAAATCCCAGGGAGAGGGCTCCTCACACTTTCTCTAAGAACCTACATCCTATTCATGGATTTAGACATTCTTCGACTGAACGTGGTCGTCTGGTTTCCCCACCTGCAGTCATTTAAAGGAACTTAGTGGACTGTGACTACCTGACAGATACAAGAACTTCAGAAAGTACGGTAGAACTGAGCCATTTGGTGAAGGGCAAACACCCTTTACTCCTTCACAGAGCCCAGGGACAGTCACTGTGTGACCGGGCTTTGAGGAAGTATGGAGGGTGACACTGCTTTGTTAAGCACCTACTATGTGCATGGCCCAG